GCGATGGCACTCGTGGACGCATCTGAGAACACGTCAATTTCTCTAGTGGCGACTTCAGAAGTTGAGTACGGTACATAAGTCCTCCGCACACGTAGGCAATGAAGTGCTTGTAGAGAATTCTTCCATTCATCCTAACTTTGTTTCATTGTATCCGAAAGTGGCCTGTCCCAGTCGTAAACTTCCGTCACGAGGTCCCGGAGCAGGTGCTTTCTCTGAACCGTTACAGGTGCCACGAACCCCAGCGAGGCTTCTCTGCATATTTGATGCGTCTTTGTTCAAGTCAAGACTTTTCAGTCCCTGCGCACGGGATTGTGGAGAAAATGCATTCAGCACAATATATATATATATATATATATATATATATATATAATGACTTGTCGCGTATTTTTAACTCTTTTACTCACTACAGCTTCTGCACTGCATTTCTCATTACACTGCTTTAGGTTTATGACCACCATCTTTTTATTTATCAGCCTAAGCTACATGATGAGTATGTTAGTAGGCCATTCTAAGGCTGTGATTGGCATGCACGTTTGCCTGTGTTGCACCTTCGTCACTAGACAACACTTCAGAGTGCCTTTAGCCGTTAGTGCATAGTAAAGATATGTATAAAGATATTGTACACTTGCATTCCAGCAAAATAAGGTTGTGAACCAAATATTCTGTCACGTGCATGTGTGTGTGCGTGTGTGCATTTACTTGCTAAGAACGTGCGAAGGTTAAGTAGAAATGTTGTTCTCTGGTCTGAGTATATCTTAGCACACATACAAAGAGTCTCCCTGTAATGTGCTTTAATGTAGCCTATCTGACCTTGGAACTGTGTCTGGTTTTTTCCATTGAAACTAACCTCTGCCTATTGAAAATTATCGTAGTGACTGACTCCAACGAGATTTGTTTGGGCGGGTACAAGCATGACCACCGCTGAATCATTAACCCCGTCGATGAGCCAACTTGAAACGCCCGCGGCCGAGACTCCCACCCTAAAATCTCACAAAGTGCCAAGGCCTTGAGAAGCACCATGACACGTTTTTCTGTATGCATGCATTATTTATTGTAAAAGCGCCCAGGAATGATATTGTGATAGTAGCAGTGCTTAGTTTCTAAATCATGTCAGTGCAAAGCAAAGAAAAAAAATAATAAGGTGGGTAAGCATTGAGGGTGAGGAGGAGGGGTTTTGGACGAAAAATTTCAGGGGGAAAGGGGTTGACCCTCTCCTCGTGGCTACGCCACTGCCGTGCGATGTCAGTGCACATTAAAGAAGAGGATATTGAAATTTCTGGAGCCCTCCACTATGGGGTCTCTCATAATCTTATCGTGGTTTCGGGCTGAAAACTACAGATATTCTTATTATGCTTTTTTGCCATATAGAAGCAGGTTGCGCCAGCTTAATAGGGACATTAATTAAGAGTAGCTCTTAAGGGTCACTAAAAGTTGAAGGGCAGTTTCTTTGGCAAGTGTGCATAAAAAATGAAATATTTTGGTTTATTCTGTGGCCCAAGTGAGTCTCACGGTGAGAGTTCAGCCTTCTGCAAGGCTGAAGTATCATAAGCCTTGCATATAGTAATTTCTAACTGCTCTGATTGCTGCTCACTTTTGCCGCTCACTCTGCCGCTCACTTTTGACATATATGACAGTCCACTTTCCACCCTTTTGATGTGGAAAAAAACAACACAAAGCGCGCCCCCTCCACTTCTGTTTTCTTCCATTTATTGACGTATTTCCAACTTGGAAAATTGCACACATCAGGGAAATTCTATCCTTGCAAAGATTTCGAGCCAAACATGCATTCGTCACATGTTTTTTAAGGGGTCCCTCAAGATGCTGATGAGCATTAAAAGGTCACACAATCATGTGCATTTTGCCGTGCACTCTTCAGCGGTGGTCTAAAGAAGCACTGACATCAAATTTAGTCATGTCAAGATTTTTGCATCCTTGAGTAGTATCAACCCCCTAGGAGCGATTCGCGACCCAAAATGCAACTGAGAGACAAATACTTATCTGTTTTATTGGTTTATATCACTGGTATCTAGCATGATTCGAAACGGTCAGCAAGCCCACTATTTTTAATGCCAGCTGCGCTTTTTTGCGGTCAACTCCAGATCGCGCCGCAGCCCCCCAGCTGACCACTTTTCCTCGAAAAGGAGTGACATGAGGATGAGGCTCAGCTGCTCCACTAGCATATTTCGTCTGCTAGGTGCACACATTCAGTCATGCCTTGTCACCAGCATTGCTATCGTCACTGTAAAGAGTGTCAACTAGTGTTGAATATGACAGTTTGGAGCTTGGAATCACTGTGATCGGTGACATCGCAAATTATTTTTACTTTGATCGACCCTTTGCAAAACAGTCATTTCAAAATGGACTCTGTTCCAAGTATACGAACAACAAGGTGCTCGGGGATGCATGCTTTTACCATCTTTGCTCATGTGTCTCAGTTAGCTATATTGAGAGGTTTAGGGTACACAGCATTCTAGTATACGCGAAGGGGTCTGTGGAGTATTGGTATAGAAAATGTACACTAGCAGAGAAATAGAATACCTTAGCTTTCTACACTAACCAATCTGTGCTTGCCAGGTTCTTCTTTGTGCCTCCAGATGTCCCCACCTGCCCGGCCTTTCATGGTTATGGCGGCAGTAACTCTACTACACGAGCACAAGGAAGTCTGCGGACAAACTCGAATTTACTATTAACGATATCGGCATGTTATTTGTTAGTGGTGATGTTTACGTGTACGTTACTCCACTTTGATAGCTTGTGGCAATGTTGGCGTGTACAGTATCTGTACTAGAATAACAAACACGTTGCACTTTTTCTGCGTTTCTAACGATACGACTGCTGATCACAATAGTTCCCCGACATGCTGACTGACGAGCACACGTAGAATCATGTTCTTTTTTTTTCGCCTTTATTTTATTGGTGGTTTGCGTCTTGACGTTTCATGAAATCATGAAGGCGGAGTGATGTAGATTAGATATGAAGAGTGAAAATATTTCGAGGCATCAAGGGCAGTCGGTTCTACATTAATAACACGCAGATCATGCTTCTCATCACTACTAGGGCATCGTCACTCAGCATAGTATGTGTGAAATGTATCATACTGTACATGCAGCACTAGTGTTCACGTCGCAGGGCACTCAGTTTTTCCTAGAACTTTTGTACGCTGTTTGCCATCGCAATAAAGTAACTTCCACATGACAGACTCTATTCAAATTTGGCAGAGAAGACCTATGCATACTGAGCAGTCGAATGAAGGGCACATTTTTATTTCTAAATTTAATGTCAGTGCCCTTTTAATATGCTAAAATGCTGACGAGTGCTAAAAACAAGACAGAGTTTCCGATTCCCGCTAAAAAGAGTGCTCTCGGGAAGGCTTTCGTTCGCAATAAAACTTCCGCATTCCTTAGATAACTTTCAAAGAAAATTTTGTGCTCGTCAATTCCTGTAGTCACAAGCCTTCACCGAGTGGAATGGTCTCTAGCTGTTTTGTCATCTTTTTCTTTCTTTTATCTGAAGAAAATCATGCTATTGCATACAGGGAACATTCAAGCACTTTTCTCATGTTGTTTACTCATAATGACACTTCTGATGATTATGCGATGACATTGTAAGTTCGTAAAAAGCCACCGTCTATTCTTCAGCTGTCAGTCTCTTTACTGTCTCATTTCCTATTATTTTTCATGTGAATGTCTTATTTATGCTAATTATATCTAATTTATGCTTAGTGTGTCAGTGAAGGTCAATGCGTTGATTTTTCTTCAAAGTTGTTTTACCGGAAATACAAAAGTAACCATGCCTGATTTTGTACATTCCCACACAGCTAGAAAGATTACACACACCCAGAGTAGGGCACCTGCTCGAATTTTTGCTAAAACGAAATCGCATAAATACAGCTTTTTTTCCTAGAACTGTGTCCAAATGAAATTCTCTGCTCTCTACTGTTGTTGATATCAATGATATTGTATATGAACTGGAAAATCTGTATTATGTATCATGACTGCACTAGAGATTTTTTTTCTTGCATTCCCAATTTTCTCTTTGTCTTTCATTTTGTTATTTCTTTCACTGTGATTGCAATGTGTTCTTTGTTTACGATGATTCTCCGGTCAATGCACAACCCCTCCTGCGTGGACCAGGCGGGGGTCTTTAGTATTTCTAAATAATAATAATAATAATAATAAAAAAAGCATGCCCAGTCATAAGTTCCTTCAAGTAAACGCTGAAGAGAAAATTGACTTCTTTTATATTGATAAATTACTGTTGTACAATAGTACCAGAAATGCAGCTCTTTCCACAAAAAGACAGTTTACGAGCCAGAAAAATGTGCGAGATGAAAATACTGACTCCTCCTGCTACTTTCCATTCCAACTTGCTTTGGCATCCCTGGCCACTGTGTTGTAGTGGTTGTGGTGCTCGACTGCGAACCCAGTGTTTACGAGATGATCAGATAATGGCTGCTTCTGTGATATTTCTGTTGGAGGCTAAAATGCTTGTGCGTACTCACATTTAGGTGCATGCCTGAGAACCCCAGGGAGTCGAAGCTTTCCTCCTATTTGGCACCTCTCATAATCATGTGGTGGTTTTGGGGTGCTAAACTCCAAGAATTGTTATTATTGTCATGGCACATAAAATTTGATGCTGTTTGCTTGGGCCTGCATAAATATATCTTTGTTTAAAATGAGTTAGTGGACTCTGGAACTTAACATGGCAAATTTCTGGAAATTTTAGTGTTGTTATTCCCAAAATCTGAAAAAAAAAACAAAAAAAAAACAAATGACTTCAGAATTTAAGATGTCCTGCTGCATGCATGCGCAGGGGTTATGGTGCAAAATTTTGAATATCAAACTTTGACTTCCACTATTGTTTCTAATAGAGAAGCTATGATCAAGAAATAAATGACTGTAGAGTTTCACACAGTCGCCCATCTGCTTGAACTCTGTCTATTTCGCTAAACATCTTTTTAGTTAATTCGGTGCTTAGAGTATTGCCGTTCTTGCTTGCAGCACTGGAAGGTGTTCCAGAAGATGTCTGAGCTGTTCATCCTCGTGCCGGCACTTTTGGGGCTCAAGGGAAATCTGGAGATGACTCTGGCCTCACGCCTTTCGACACAGGTGAGCACATTGATGCCAACTGCTTGTAAAGAAGCAACTTGGAGGAGCTACAGCAGCGGTCATCTCCCTCTACACTTTATAGGGTATATATGTACACTTCAAACTTGGGAGTATTTAGTCAGCATCGCTAGTTGCCATGGCTGCAACGGTGGATTACTTTTTTTTTTTTTGCCTGTCAGCATCACGTAGCAAGAGATCTATTACGAGCTGGCAGCTGACCAATAATTCCTCGTGTACTACCTGAAGACATCCAGTCTGCCGGAACGGGACCGTTGCTATGAATGAAAAAGAGGGAAATTTTTAGGGCTCGTTTTTTCTTTGTAAGACACATTACGTCCAAACCTTGATATAACAAACTTTGATATTACGAGATATTCATTATAATAAAGTAAATGAAGAATAGTCTTGCAATAATTATAGTGCTAGGAATATATGTGTCTACTCGAATCTTGGCCGACCCCGATTCCAGGCCGACCCCCAAAAGCCCGAAGCCCGAAAAAAAACAAAAAAACTCGACTGTAGGTTGAATAAAACCGCAAAGACTGCATTCACAAAGAGAAAACATTTATTCAACATGAAAAAGAAACAAAGCAGCTAGTTCATGATGCAAATAACTTGAAATACATACAGCCTCTACTCTTGTTTTGTGTGTTTCTTTGTCGCTGCTTTTAGTTCTTTGCGTCGTAAAGATTCCACACTTGCTGATGCTGTGCTCGTCTCGAGTCGTCGTCGCCGACTTTGTTTCTGTCTTCAAAGAGTGCGCAATCCTCAGTGCCATCGAGCACATTGAATATGCCATTATTCTTAAAAGCGCACTACCAAAGTTCCTGGGATGTCGTCCCACGCTGTAGCTCTTTCAGCGACGCTAATTTTTTTTCATCTACTCCAAAGTCCCACCCGGCTTGAAGGTTGGAGGAGGCGCTGTAGAGGACGCCACCTGTTGCTTCTAGTAACTGGGAGGTGGCGCCTTCACTCTGGATAAAAGGCATCGGTGGGCATTAAACGGGGCTTTTTGCTGTTTGTGAACTACGCGTTGTCGGGTCATTCTTCGCGGGCTTCACGCCCACTTTTGGCTCGGCTAGCGGCGTCCGCGCTACCCGGGCACGTCACTACATGGTGTCAGAAGTGGGACCCTGCGACAACCGTGCAACATGCAGGATAACCCAGCCGCCGCCTCCGCCGTGACCGCCAGATTCACATTGCGAACTCCGCCGCAGCTCACTTTTGACAACCCAGCCCAATGGACGGCGTGGCTTCAACAATTCGAGGATTACCCCTTCGCCTCAGGACTGTCCTCAGCCCCCGAAGAAACCAAGGTACGCACGCTTCTCTACTGTATGGGTCCCCAAGGTCGCGAGGTGCTTTCGTCTCTCATGTCAGACACAAGGCCTATCGCTCGTACTCCGGCGTGACAAGTTTTTCGGAATATTTTGTACATCCCGTCAATGAGGTATACGAGTCGAGCAGGTTCCACAAGCGCACGCAAGCGGTAGGCGAGTCAGTCGACGCGTTTTTCACGGCGCTCCGAAATCTCGTGAAGAAGTGCAACTACGCCTCCCGGGAAATCGACGATCGGCTGGTTCGGGACAGATTTATCGTAGGTTTGCTTGACTCTCGCTTGACCGACCAGCTCTGCCGCAATCCAAAGCTTACACTAGACGAGGCGCTCATCCAAGCGCGTCAGTACAAAGACGCTGAAAATGAGAAATTGCGGCGTCAGGGGACAGGCCTTGCACCAGACGCACTGAACGTCGACACCGTTGCGAACAACCAGTACCGAATGGCCGACGCCCCAGCATGCGAAGCTGCCCGAAGTAAAAGTAACGTCTGCCGGCCTCCCGAGTACCGTGCCGGCCCGAAGTCGGCATGCGATTTTTGCGGCCACGCCCCTCATCCGCGATCTGAGTGCCCAGCACGGTGGGCCACATGCAACCAATGTCACAAGAAGGGACACTTCGCGGCAGTTTGCCGCTCGAATAATACTAGGCGTTTAAGCCGAATCCAGCTCTGCGCCGTGGATGCCTCGCAAACAGAACGCTGGCACGTTGTTGTTCATGTCAACGGACGCCCCCTTCAATTCAAAGTGGATACTGGGGCGGACGTTTCGGTCGTACCTCCGAGCTTCGCCGGGTGCCCAGTAGACCTTGACAAACCGATAATGAACGGTTGATGGGGTCGGGCCGCTGCCGCCTAAGGTTGCTTGGGACGTTTCCTGCTACCCTGTCGTGGCGAGGCCTGTCGGTATGCAAAACGTTGTACATTGTAGCAGACATTGACTCTCCTCTGCTGGGGTACTTGGCGGTAGTGGACCTGGAAGTCGTCCAGTTTGTTGACACCGTGGAAGATGCGGAAGCTCCGAATAGGCCCTCAACGTCAGACAAGGCCGCTGCTTCGCTGTTCTCAGGCCTTGGCAAGATGCCTGAAGAATACCACATTCGTATCAAGCCGGGAGCGATTCCATTTTCTCTCAGCGTTTCTAGGCGCATCCCTATTCCCCTCGAAGGGGTAGTCAAGAAGGACTTAGATGCCATGGAAAGGGACGGGGTCATCCGGCGAGTCACAGTGCCAACCCCGTGGTGTGCTGGTATTGTGCTGGTACCCGAAGCCGATGGCGAATACAGAATTCGTGTTGACCTCACGAAGTTGAATCAAGTAGTTCTTCGGGAGAGACACCTTATGCCCACAGTGGACCGGGTACTTGGCCGTCTTGGCAATGCCGCGGTCCTCTCGAAACTTGATGCAAAATCGGGGTTTCATCAAGTAAGGCTATCGGAAAGCTGTCAGGAGCTGACTATCTTCATAACGCCGTTTGGACGCTACTGCTACCGCCGCCTGCCCTTTGGCATCACGTCCACTCCTGAAGTATTTCAGCGCCAAATGTCTCGGATTCTAGAGGGCCTGGAAGGGTGTGTGAACATGGTAGATGACATCCTAGTATTCGGCAGGAGCCATTCCGAGCACGACAGCAGACTCCAAGCAGTCCTTCGCAAGTTAGAACAAGCGGGCATTACGTTGAATGCCTCGAAATGCTCCTTCGGGGTATCTTCCGTCAAGTTCCTTGGTGTAGTGGTGAGCGCCAGTGGCATCTCGGCTGATCCTGACAAGGTATCTGCTATTGTGAACATGAAGCCGCCGACAGATACGCATGGCGTCCGTCGTTTCCTGGGCATGCTGAACCACATTGGAAGATTTTTACCGAACCTGTCTGCCGTCACTACACCGATACGGCTCCTGTTGAACAAGAACGCGGTCTGGACCTAGGACCATGCGCAAGCAACCTCTTTCGAGACATTGAAGGGAATGGTGGCATCTAATGCTTGTATGGCCAGCTACAATCCAGAGCTACCCACCCTTGTGTCGGCAGATGCCAGTTCGTTCGGGCTAGGCGCGGTTCTCATGCAGGAGCAACAGACGGGAGAGCGACGGGCTGTTGCGTTCGCGTCAAGAGCACTGACTACCGCTGAGCAGCGGTACAGTCAGATTGAGAAAGAAGCGCTTGGTGTCTCTTGGGCTATCGAGAGGTTTGAGGAATTCCTGCGTGGACTCAGCTTTGTCGTTGAAACCGACCATCAGCCGCTTGTCAGGTTGCTTGGTTCCGCCGATCTGGACCTCATGCCCCCTCGCATCCAAAGATTTCGCATAAGGCTCATGCGATATCAGTTCACAGTCAAGTATGTTCCAGGAAAGTACCTGGCCACGGCAGACACCCTCTCTAGGGATCCCGAAGGCTCTTCCACGTCCGAAGAGGACAGCACAGAAATTTTTGTGTCTCTGGTTGTGGCAGCCCTTCCTTCAACCCTGGTCGTACGTCTTGAAGACTTCAGGTCTCGCCAAACTTCAGACGGCGAGTGCTCAATGCTGAAAGCATAGTGCATGAAAGGGTGGCCTCGACGAGACCGTCTGCCGCTCAACATGACGCGTTACTGGGACCACCGGGGAGACTTCACTGTATGCGAGAACATGCTGTTCATGGGCGGACGCCTAGTTGTGCCCGCAGCACTACGCAGAGACATCGTGAACCTGCTGCACGATAGTCACTAAGGCGTCAATCGGTGCTTGGCGGTGGCTCGAGGCTCTGTGTGGTGGCCCGGTCTCAACAGCCAGGTTAAAGCAGCCGTAGAGAACTGCCCAGCATGTGCTTCTATACGCGTTCAACGCTGTGAGCCCATGATTGCAACCGAGACACCATCAGCTCCGTGGGAAAGGGTGGCCATTGACTTGTTTCATTTTGCTAATCAAGAGTTCCTGGTGGTTGTCGACTACCGTTCTCGGTACCCTGAGGTCCTCACACTCCGGTCCACTTCTGCGGGAGCCGTTATTTCTGCGATCAAGAGCACATTTGCCCGACACGGCATCCCGGTGACTGTTGCCAGCAACAATGGGCCACAGTTTTCCTGCAAAGCTTTTGAGGACTTTGGGAAGACATACGGTTTCACGCATGTCACGAGCAGTCCACGCTACCCGCAGTCGAACGGCGAAGCAAAGCGCATGGCTCGCACGATCAAGGAGTTGTTTCTAAAGGCCACAGACCCGTTTCTGGCTCTGCTAGCATACCGTAACACTCCCGGTGTGTCTGGCTACAGCCCGGCCCAACTGCTCATGGGACGCTCTCTGCTAACTTGTGTGCCAGCCACGGCTCAAAGCCTTGTTCCAGATTGGCCCCAAATGAAAGAATTCAATGACAGAGATGTCGCCCAGAGACGAAGACAACAGAGAGACTACAATAACCGACACGCAGCGCATGACCTTCATGCTCTCGACGATGGGGAGGAAGTCTGGGTGCGTGACACGCGAGCAAGGGCGACGGTCGTAAGCCCGCCTCAGAGACCCCGCTCGTACATCGTCCAGACGCCCAGTGGCATACTAGTGAGAAACCTTGTCCCCTGCAGCAATCCTCAGTCGGCCCCCTCAGATGAGACGGGAATCCCCAACCCTGTGGCCCCGACATCGGCGCCGTCTCCCGGACCACAGCGGGCAGCAACCGGTAACGCATCGGACAC